TTTGGTGTTTTCGTAGTCAGAATTCTGTAAATTTTACCATATTCTGGCAGTTTTGTCAATACTTTTTTTCTCATGATTTTCTGCGCCAAAACCTAGAATTTTCGGAAAAAGGGGGTTTAATAACAAACTTATTAAAGAACATGATTGATTGATTACTTATGATTTTATATGAACTTTAATTTGCAATTGCTTCCTTTTTTAGTATCTAATAATTAGCTTCTTTAACAAAAGTTTTTGACGATTATCAAAAACTATGTCAAAAAGAGCAATTTTTGACATGACGGTTAAAACCATGATTAAAACCAGAACCTTGCGTACCCTGTTTTTTGGACATATTTCCCCCTTAAGAATGCTCCATATTTTCCTTATTTTTTAAACATTTTTACATCGATGTATTTAATTTTGTCAAGAAACTCAAGAAGTTCATATATTAGCTTGATAAATTTTTACATCAATCGCCACGTTCATACCACTTGAATTTTTTTTCTTTTTAAGCGTGGTCTTAAATCCTCAAACAAACAAGTCCAAAACATATAACCAGTTATAATTTAAACAAGACCAAAGTTTCTGGGTTTGTATGATTAAGGAAAATAATTTAATAACGTTAAGACATTTTGTTTAAAAAAAAGTATTAGAAATTATATGACCTCAGACAAATTCAAACAATAAATCATTTATATTTTAGTGGATACTTAGAAGAAATATTTTTTAAACATTCTCAAAATACTTAGCCATGACATAGATTCCGCTTTCTTCAGTTTTTGAACGATTCTATTGTTGAGGAATAGGGACATAAAAGTACCGCTAGCTTTTCGGATGGGCAATGAAGCAATTATTATCCATTGAAGTCATATAGGATACAAATATCTTGAATGAAATGTGTCACAGATCTTCTTAAAGCTGTCGGAAATGTGTACTCCCAACATATATTTCACTTATGATTAATATCTATTTTATTTTACTTTATTTTATTTATTGAAATTTAACTCGAAAAAAGTAATTATTTTCTTTATTAGGCTTCACAGATATTAAGTAAAATAGTAGAACAAAACAAGTTTTGATATAATTTATCAAATAAAATTATAAGTAGCCTTTTAATGGAGAAGGTTTCCTTTTCAAGTTGAAAATCAGTTTTGCATTGGCTACTTTTTTGATTTTATAAACTTTTTGGCCCCTACTTCCAAAATAGTTCTAATTTATAATGCGTCTATGAAACAGTCGAGTATAATCTGCCAGAGAAAACAGAAATCCAGGGTAGAGCCATGAATATATTTTAAAAACACATTTTTTAGCTCATATCGGTATTTCTACTAACTTTTTTTTAACAAATTTAGAAAAAAAAAAAGATTATCTTCTTATAATGCAGGAATGAAATTGTAGCTAAAACGCAGTTTTTAAGTTCACGGAGAAAACAATTCTAGTAGATTTACGGTTCTGTATAATAATTACATTTCTGGTAAACATAATTCTGTTTAATAAAACCAAAATATGTGATATTTACGCCATTCATTTCTTAATTTTTTCACCCATATGCTAATAATTTACTAGAAATTCTTGTTTGTTTTAAAAATTCCAACTCTTATTACCACATATTAATTAAAAAATACAAAACTGAAAAGTAAATTTAAGCGAATAAAGGGTTATTATGTCATGCTCCGTGACATTATGATAAAATCACCAAATTTTACCTTATTATAAAACCATATTTCATTGTTAATTTTACCAAAATCATTACCAAGGAGCTTCGGTAAAAACTACCAAGTTTTTTGTTCTCATAGAGCCAGTAACATGGTACAATTTATCATATTCTAGTAGTTTTTATCATATTCTAGTAGTTTCATACTTCTTTCTTGGTGTTATTTTAATCCATAATCTTTTTATGCGAAGAAAATTATAATTTCTTTTAAGACTATTATCTGCTACGATGTTTTCATTATTTCCTTGCGAAAGAAATTGATTGTTTCAATTACAGTTGTAAAGCTTTTGCTTCAAACTTAGTTTCATAAAGCTCAAAAAGAATGATTTTTTTAAAAATGATTTTGAATAGATTCATCTATCGTATAGAAATGACTTAATAAATGCATATTTAAAACATTGCATGTTGTTTTTTCCTTTACAAAACAACAATTAAACAATCAAAAATCGATTTTTCGGGTAATTATTTTTTTTCTTTTATATTTCCTTAGCATTATATTTTCATATCCGTTTGTGGCGTACCGTATTTTTATGTGATAGATTTTTACACGTACATCCAAAAGTTTAATTTAAGTTTATTACACCTGAGTAAATAACTAAAAATTGAAGATTTTTCCAAAAAAGAGATGTTGTTTTCGGAGAATAAAATTTTTGTCGTCATAAAAATAAACTTCTAAATTAAATTACCGAAACTGAGCTCCTTAAAATAAGGAAAGTCTATATTATTGAAAATTATGTACAATTTAGAAAACATTGTTTGTATTAAACAAATATCTTAAATAACGGGAACAAGTGTACTTATGTAAAACGTTTCTTATCAACTGCAAGCTTTTACGCAACAATTAGTTTTGGAAACATATCAAAATCATTTTTGTTTAGCTATAGGCTACATGTTAAATGTAAATTTACAATTTATGAAAGAATCTACATCGTGACTTATGATTAATATGAAAGGATTTTGTGCTGTAATGGTTTTGCTTTAGGCAATAAAATCTGATCCTTCACATAAACGTTCGTCTTTGAAGGTTAATAGATCGTAAATCTTTTATAACTTTATAAATATTTTCTTAACTAAGATGATTTCCCAATCATAATCTCTGAAGCAACTTTTTAAGCTTATTTATATCATTAAAGCAATTTTTTCAAGTTCTTTATAGTGAAATAAAATTCGAAACTTGAAAAGATTTTTCAGTACTTGTAGTATTATTTGCCGAGGTATACAATTAAAACGATAAAAAAAATGCAGCGACATAAAATTATGAATTTCTGTTGATGTACAGTGTGTACCGTAATTTACAATCTTAATGTATATTTTAAGAATCCTTGTTGAAAATGAAGTGAAAAAAACATAAGCATTAAAGGTGGTAATTTAACGTGAAAAAATTTATCAAAATCTGACGTATTATTATTGAGGAATTCAGAAAAAAAATGGAAGGAGGTAAGATGACATCAGACGTTGAGAAACTGTTTTCCTCTCAGAAATGAAATTCTCCCTTTTGACGATTGATCAATTCTTGAGCTGTATTTCGTTAATTTTGATTATCGTTTAGTTACGAAATCGCGTGATTTCTGACGAAAGGCGAACTCTCAAATAAAAGACGAAAATGTTTCCTCAACTCGAAACCTCATCGTAATGTATTGTGTTAGATTAACTAGAGTGACAAAACTAGAATAAAGACTAGACTATCGAAAATAAAGTGACTGAACAAGCCGACCGAGTGGTATGGTGGTCCAGGAGTTTGCCTCATACCCAAAAGATCCTGGGCTCGAATCTCGCTTTGAATATGGATGTAATTTACGTTTTTTTATTTATTTATTTTTGAAAAATTGAATGACGAAATATTTCTTTAATTTTGACAAAATTTGTTTCTCCGAAAAAGTTAGGATATTTTTTTGGTCACTATGACGAAATTTTTGCTCAGAGCATATACTAGGATACGGTTTCGTCAAAAACGAAGAAAGTTTCGTGAAATTTACGCATCCATTTTTTGACAGTGTTCGAGTCTCATTCTTTCATTCAGCATTTAATCTGCTTTTTTCCATCCTCCTAACGCTGTTAATCCATTCTATACTCTTTTCCTTGTTTAAATTTTACTTTATATTACTTAATTAGATTAAATAATTACTACTAGATTTACCAATACTGATGAATCTAATAATTATTAGTTAATACTAGTTAATTAATACTAATTCATATTAAAAATTAATTAATTATTAGATTTAATATTACTTAAATATAAAAACATATTTAAGTAATATTAAATATGTTTTTATATTTAAGTATAGTTTTTTTTAAACATATATATTTTTTGCTATATCGGAATGTTTCGAAAGGTTCTCTTCAAACTTGGATAATCAGGGGTATGAAATAAATCTTTAACAATTCTGTTGCGACAAAAAAATTATGAAAATTCTACCTTAATTATTTATTTCTGTTTAATCATCTACATAAAAAATTGTAATCGATAAAAAATTGGGGTACCTTACAAGTGGGTGTAAAAATGATGGATGAAATTTTGGATGAAATTTTCATGTTATTTGGGACGATTTAATATAAAAGGATACGCATGAATTAGTTAATTAAATAAATATAACAGACATTTTGATAGATTTGCTCTCTTTATTTCTTAATAATTAAAAAAGGAACATTTCCTACATTTTCTTAAAAACTAAGAAATGCATAGTTAAACTTCACTATTTTGAGTAATATTATTTTGATGTAAAATAATTTTCCAATTTTCAATTTTTCCAATTTTTATAATCTATCTTTTTAGTTTCCTTGGGTGAAAAATTTAATTTTATTTCAAGATCTTTTTTATCAAATCGAATCAAAAATTTTCATTTATGGGATCTGAAATCTGAACAAAAATCACGAAATAATACTTCAGGCAACGAGTATTGAAATTACACAAATATTAACTATTTACACACTTGAATAATTTCGAAATGTTAATTCCTATAAAATACCGATCATTTAAGTAAAAATATGTTGCTGTTATTTCAAGAATTGTTTACAAACAATTTAATTTTAGTTCGAATTTTTCATAATGATGTTAGGTATAATGATCAAGAATGATGTCAAAAACGACTGCTTATCTCTCACAGTTACATTGGCATATTTCATTTGAAAATTTTTAACACTCATTAATTTTGATTGTATTCAGTGATTTTTTTTAAACTTATCTTCAATAAATATTTCTGTTCATATAAATTTTTGTTCTGTATTTTTATTGTTTAGAAGATTTTGTTTGTATTTGTGTTGATTCTGTATCTATAAATTTGTATTAATAAGCTGTTTTTTTCAGGTAAGTGTATTATATTCAAGTTCTCTGCTTTCTTCCTTATGAGGTAAAAAATTCTTATATTCTAACTTTTTTGCAATCTTAATTTTTGCTGTCAGGTACCTTTTCATGAACCACTCATACATTTAAATTAAATTCATTTTGCTATGTAATAAGCTTTTATAGAGATATTCAAATGCAACTTTAAACGTTTATTTAGCCGCGTTAGCAATCCACTAGTCACAATTTTTTTCATTGATTTTAAACTTTGATCTTATATTAGAAATCAACTGACCACATTTTTGAGTTAACAATGTTTACACGTGATTGAATAGGAAATACGCGTGATTTAATAAAATTAATGAGTTTACACGCGATTTAATAAAAATTTAATAGGAAATTAACGTTTAAACTATAATATATTTGAAGTAACGACTTCATTTGAAACTGTCAACTTTTTTTAGGAAGACCATTTAAAAATTCATAGTTGAAATTTTGCAATTCCAGCAATAAGGCATTTAAAAAAAAAAAGGTGCTATTTGCGCGTAGAAAAAACACGACTTCCTTTCAGCCTTTAAAAGAAGGAGTAGCCCTTAAAATTTACTCTTTACATAGCCTTACCGCAAAACTTGGCAATCTTTCTCGCTAAATGGATGTTTTCAAAGATACGAAAATAATGTATTTTTTGTTACTGTTATAATTTATTTTTCTGAGAATAAAGCTGTTAATACGCGATACAAGTGGTGAAGATTTTTTCCCTTTATCTTTGGTGGCGCCAGAACTAAAACTTGTACAGTTAAAAGTGGAGGAAAAACCTCTGGGTTTTACCGTCTGAGTTAAAACAACCCATGTGTGAACAAACATACAATTTTATGATTATCTGTTTTCTTTTTTTTATTTTTTTTTATTTCATCCGAATCACGCAAAGGATGAAAGGTGATTCAGAATCAGTTTCACGACCTTCCCTCTAGATATTAACTTGCATAAGGACACATAGGAATTCTACCTTACAGTTTTTTCATCTGAACCAGTGATTTAAGCAAGATGATAATAAAAGAATTGCTTGACTAAGCTCACTTAGGTATTCTTCGCAGTAAGAGGGAATACCTTTTCCGCGTTACATATTATGCGTTAAATTATTTGCCCAATTATTAAGTGTGCACATTTTTGGCAACCTGTGACTGAATTGGAATTCATTAAGTTTTGTTATTCAACATTGATTGAATGTTAGAGCATGAATATATGATACTTTAAAATATTTGATATTTTAAATAAAAATTAGTGCTTTTGAGGTAATATTTTTGAAATACATAGGACTTCTACCTTAAAGCTTTTTTTGTTGTTATAGTAAGTGCTTTAAACAAAATGATAATAAAATAATTGCTTTAATAAACGCACTTTAGTATTCCTCGCAATAAGAGGGAATAACTTCTTTTCTGCTTTAAATTAAATTTTATACGTTAAACTATTTGCCCAAATATTAAATGTGCGCATTTTTGACAACCTGTGACTGAATTGGAATCTGGCCAATTTTATTATTCAGCATTGTTTAAGTGTTTTTGCATGACTATATGATATTTTAAATAAAAATTAATGCTTTTGAAGTAATATTCTTGAGATATATCGCATTTCCACCTTACAGTTTTTTTTTAAATTTTAGTAAGTGTTTTAAGCAAAATGATAGTAAAATAATTACTTGAATGCACTCAGTATTCCTCTCAGTAAGAGGGAATACTTTTTCTGTGTTAAATTATTTGCCCAATTATTAAATGTGCACATTTTTGACAACATGTGATCGAATTGGAATCCGACCAATTTTATTATTCAACATTGTTTAAGTGTTTGTGCATGAGTATGATATGATATTTTAAAATAATTGATAATTTAAAGTAATTGAAATTTTATGTAAAAATTAATGCTTTTAATGCTTTCTTGAAGTAAAATCTAACTTATTTAAGGTAGCTTTAGGTATACAGAAATTTTTAAACATAATCTAAGCAATCTATGTATGAAATGGCATGAGGTAAATTTTATTACCCTATAAACTTTGCACTTTAATGTGTAATTAATGTATGCTGTTTTAATATAATTGAAATTCCAAGTCTAATAAATTCACTTTAAAGTAGCTTTTATGTTCGTAAATTAAAAAAAAAAATAATTTTAGCAACGTTTAGAATGAAGTTTATTACCACTGTCAAATTTTAATATCAAGTATATTATTTTAGGTCACAAAAAATTAAGGAAACATTCTTAACCACAATGATTCTTTTAACAACATGTATTTTTTTTTAAGTAAATTTTTTGTGTCTGTTTTTTTTAAAAATTAATGCCTTTTTTTGAAATTCTAAGTAATATACTTATTAGGACAAAGAAGGTTTTCACACATCCCTTTCAATGTAGCTATATGATCTTAAAGTGGTTCTACAAAAAAAAAAAAAAANAAAAAAAAAAAAAAAAAAAAAAAAAAAAAAAAAAAAAAAAAAAAAAAAAAAAATCTCATTTTTGTCTTATTTAATAGTTTTATTCAAAATTATTTATGACTAGGAATTAAGATTAGAGAAATTATATTTAGAATTAGTTTTGCCTAATAAATAAGATTAAAATAATACATCAAACAATTATATTAAACAATTATGTTAAAAAAAAATTTTTTTTTTAAAAAAACCTCCGTATTTATTGATTTAGGATAAATAGACTTTTTTTAATAAATTAAACTAATATTCTCTACTTTGAAACCAAGAATTCGCATCGTTTTCTTAAAGTTACTTAACATGCTTCCCTACTTTTTACGAAATATGTAATTTACCCTAATGTTTTTACATTAAAAAAGTTTCAATGTAAATTTTATATTCATTATATTTTTAGTTTAATTAGAATCTTTAATAATCAATGAATACTGCGTTTTATCAAAATTGTATATTCTTTTTAAGAGAATGAGAAAGTCTGGGTTTTATTCCTGGTGATGGCATGTGGGTCTTCCAGCTTCAGATTGATACGTACCGGTTTGTCTGGAAATAAAAGTGGTGGCCGGTGTGCAACGCTGACTATATAGCCAGTATCATTCCATTGATCACTCTGAGCTTCCATGACCCCGTTGACTTACAATGGACTTATGCTGTAGTTTTTTACTTCAAATTTGTTTACTATTTTAACTTTTTTTTACTAGAAATTATTAAGAATTTTGAAATCATTATTAGCTATAATAAATTGTTATTATTTTTTTACGAAGCGTCATTGTCGCGAAAAATGTTATGTTTTCTAAAAAAGATCGTCCTTATTCTATATTAATGAAATTCTATATTAAAATATACTATAAAATATATATAGAATATATATGTATTCTATATGCGAAATTCTATATTAATGTTTTAATTCCACTATTCTTTTCTTGTGTTCATTTTTGCAATTTTTAAATTAACAGCTAGCAAATACTAAATACTTGCTGCATTTAAATTTATTTGAAAAAAAATACGATCTTGAAAAAAAGCTAAAAAGAAAATAAATAATTCACTCATATTTAAAAGTGATTTCTAATATTAACTGAAATATGAACAAAAACTTTATTAGAGCCAGAAGCAGCTTCTTTAATAAGTTTTTTTGTTTATAAAACGTATGGCTTTTCATGAAATTGAAAATAAGCAATTCGATAAATTAAAAGTAGCAATTAAACTCACAAAAAAAACGAAGGAAAAGAAAATACAATATTATACGTTTTCTGAAGAGCATTTGAATTTTTCTATTCAACTGAAACCAAACCGAATTATTTCATTTGAGTATTTTTGACATATAAACCGTTAACTTCCACGAAAACTTATTCAGATTTCTGTACCTTCTAGTCTTCACTCATATTTTAATGATTTTAAAATCTGTTTACAATATTCTTGCTTTAACTTTTTTTTTCTATTGCAAAGTTTCTATTAAATTTTCTGTTTAAAAATTTTCTCTTTAAAAATTTTCAAAATACGTGTTTTTTTTAAATTTGAAACAGCTGTTGACAAATTCGACTTTTTGAAAAAGCGTAATTATTCTTTTCTGATTAATCATATGTTTTTATGATTGTTTAAAGTTGCAAGTTCTGGAAATCAAATTTAAAAAAATTGTGTTCAACTGAATTGTTTGTCCATTGATTTGGCCATTTATGCATAAAAGCACCATTTAATTTCATATATAAAGTATTATTTTTCATGCACGAAACTTTTTTTTGTGTCTTAAAGAATGTAATTTAGCATATTTCATCGAAAATACCACATTTTATAAAATTTGTATGCTTTGCGTAATACAGGTTAAATGCAGTAAAATTAGTTACCGTCATGATTTTTGCCCGCAAAATGTGCCAATTCTTATATTGCCATACATTTTTGTGGCTTTGTGGTTTCATTTTATATGTAGTTCAATAAGTATGTCTTTTCAGTTGTCGTATTGTCAAAAAGAAATTTCATTCTGGGAAAAAAATGAGGAAACAGTATCGTCAATCAGACTTGTAGAATGAACGCTCCCACGCGTTAGGCGTGCGCAGGATTAAAAAACATAAGTTAAAAATAAAATTCCAATTTATTTTAAAATAAATTAATTCCTTTTTTTAATTCTCGGAAAAATTCAATTTGCTGTCCTTCGATTATCACTCGCCATCAGTGGAATCTTTGTGTGAATCCTTGATATTGGTATATGAATACCATAACAATAATAAGAAGTCAGTCACTGAAAAAAGATAACTCATTATGAAATGACAATATTAGTAAATGATCCTCTTTCCACAAATACAATTTCCTTGTTTTTGATGCAATAATTAAGTATTTTTGCAAGCAGAGTGACTGGCATTTTGTAAGAAGAGGTCACAATTTTAACGATTTGACTATTTCCAATTCTGTTAAAAAAGTAATCCATAAGAAATCATTTCTTCTTGAACAGATTTGTAACTTTTCCTTTCAACATTTATTTATTTATTATTATTTAATTTTGAATCAATTTTTATTATAGTGTTACTCTGATAATGTGATAAGTAGTATTTTTGTGCAGCATAAATATTTTGTTCGTTAACAACATTACATCATGTTGCAGAAAAGTTTTATACAAATCTGCCGTTAACTTAAAACAGCATTTCAGTTGCTACTGATTGTTTTTCCGGCATTTGTTTTAATTTTATATTACAAAGTGGTGGTTGAAATAAAATAACTATTTTAGTTTTTCTTAGTTGCTACTGATTGCTTTTCTGGCATTTGTTTTAATTTTATATTACAAAGTGGTGGGTGAAATGAAATAACTATTTTAGTTTTTCTTAGTTGCCATTGATTGTTTTTCTGACATTTGTTTTAATTTTATATTACAAAGTGGTGGGTGAAAAAAATAACTATTTTAGTTTTTCTTAGTTGCTACTGATTGTTTTTCTGGCATTTGTTTTAATTTTATATTACAAAGTGGTGGGGGAAATAAAATAATTATTTTAGTTTTTCTTAGTTCGTTGTAACAAGGAATACCACGAAAAAAGATTAAATACAGATTTCTGTGTATTACAACCAAAGATTTCATGAAAAGTAAAGTTTTTTGTAATTAAGTTGACAGAATCTCTTATGTAATAAACGAAATTTCAGTTTCTAATATTTCATTGACTGACTCAGTATTCCTGTTTTGTTAGGCCTTTTTTCAGTTCAGTCTCATTAGACACGCTTCTATTAAGTTGAAGACTTGAAAGAGTTTATCATACCTGGGGTGTTATCATACTGTAACTACGAGAAGGTGATTAAATTTAAACGAATTATACTTTTCAAGCATGCATCTATTAACTAAAACGATTCGTGATATGATTTAGTTGCAATCGTTTGTTTTATGAACGGAAAAAATATGATTATTCATTAAGAATGTGAAGTAAATACGCTAATATTTCTTTAATGGAAATAACGAAGTTATATTCAT